TTTTATTTGTTTGTTTGTTTGTTTGTTTTAGAGAGGGGGTGGGGCAAGGAGCACAGGGAGAGGGACAAGCAGACTCCGCACTGAGCATGGAGCCCTACCTGGGGCTCAGTCTCATGACCCTGAGATCATGACCTGAGCCAAAAATCAAGAGTCAGATGCTTAACTGACTGAGACCCCAGGTGCCCCTCATTCTGTACTTTCAAATATCCTCAAACCTTGTTCTATTATTTTATTGATTTAAGTTTTAGAGTCAAGAAGATAGTTCTATAAGTTCTTCATAGATAACCATACTCCTGGAGTACATGATATGTTCTATTTCCTCTTTTTCTTTGGTGGGAACCAGAGTCCCAGTAAGCTTTCACACTCTTTGTATACTTGAGATTAACTCATAGGCTGCTAAATATTGACTGACCCAATTCATATCACTATGAAGAATCTGTCTTAATCTTTTAAATAATGTTATTGTGTCCTTTGTTGTTAGAGGTTAAAAGTACAGGCTGTAGGGTCAGACTGCCTGCATTGGAATCCTAATTCTAATACCACTTCAGTTTTCCCATCTGTAAAATGACAATATTTGAACCTACTCAATAGGGTAATTTTGAGAATGAAGTAAAATGATATATGTAAAACATGTAGAGTCCTAGTTTATTTAAAGCACTTGATGGTTCACATTATTAGTTTTATCTTTACTCTTTATTTTATAACCATACAGTAGCTTACCCTGGTTATGTATAATAGAAAGAAAGCTCTTTCTCTACTCTTCCTCAAACATAAAAATACTGAACTATGGCATCATGTTTATGTTTGTTCAACAAGTATTTATTTAGCATCCAGGCTGGGTGAGACACCTCACAGAGAATAACAGAACTACCCTAATGACTCATATACAACTTGTGTATGATTCCCATATGTTTTCTGCCAGATGCCATTTTCATTCTGCAAACATAAGTATATTAAAAAATCTACTGAATACCTGTTCAAGAAATTGTGGGAGGCATTGTCTAAGAATCAGAGTTGAAAGAGAAAGCATCTGTCCTTGGAGATAATATTTATATTATGAGAAAAGACATAGATAATTCAGTAAAAATACAATAGCTCTCAAAATCATTATAGTATTAATTGGCCCATCAGTGTTGTAGAAAATACAAGCTTTATATCCAGAAGAAAAAAAAAAGATTATGGTGGATTATAAGTTTTGGTATTTTGCTCTTTGTATTCATGATAATACCTTACCACTGATTTTTAAGGATGATTATTTTGTTTTATAAAATAATACAGGTTTAACTACAGAAATATAAGCAATATGGGAAGAGTTTTTAATTTTTTATTTATTTACTTTTATTTCTTAAGATTTTATGTATTTACTTGACAGAACGAGAGAGCACAAGCAGTGGGGAGGGGCAGAGGGAGAGGGAGACGCCGACTCCCTGCTGAGCAGGGAGCCCAACATGGGGCTGGGCGGATCCCAGGACCCTGAGATCATGACCTGAGCTGAAGGCAGATGCTTTACTGACTGAGCTACACAGGTCCCCCTGGAAGAGTTTTTTAAAAAGAAAGCAATATATCTCTCATGGTCCTATCTTTCATGGATAACTGTTGCTAACAATCAATAAAATTATTTTAAGTAGATGCTCACAGAGTGATTGTTTAAAAATGAGATTATATTCTACATGCTATTTTTAAATAAAATAAATTAATATAAAGTAGAATTGAAAGACATATTAATTTTCAGATAAAAATCTTTACTTGGAATACTCTCTAAATTATTATTGTTTAGGGAAAATGATACAAAAAATAGTGAGAGAATGGAATCATTTTTAAATTCATATTTCAAATTTAGGAGGTATTAAATGACTAAATCCTATGAATGATGAGGTTAATATTTTATACTATTTTTTTCTCAAATGCTCAGCTTTCCCATCCCATGAGTACTTTTATTTCATCAAGATTTTTAACATCTGCATTTTGTAGTGCAATCATAATCCTCTCAATATTTTGTCTTTGTTCTGTATGTACTTGAATTCAACCTACCATGTGTTCTTTTTTCAAACTTTTTACATTTCCATTTTGTTTACTTTGGTTCTTCTATTTGTAGCCTGTATTTTCCTTTGTTATTTAAATTTTGATTATGGTTACACTTGCATATTGAACAATAATAAAACATCTATAATGAAAACCAGCAGTCCTCTGCTCTCCCCCTCACCAAAGACAATTCCATTCCCCATAGAATCTGAAGAATCATAGTTCTTTCAAATTTTTCCTTTTTGTTGTTCTATTCCATGTTTCGAAAGGATACATCTATACTACAACTTCTTGATTTACTAATTCTAACTAGTATCTGTTGGTTTCCTGTAATGTGCTCTGGCTCTCCCTCCCTTATACTTATCACCTATTATAACTCCCTGCTGGTGTCTAGGTCTCTTGCATAGCTGTCATCATGGATCTTTCTTATTTCTTTTGATACTTTACTTTTTTATTGCAGAATAATATACACACACAATCTAAGATATACAGATAAATAAATTTTATATATATATATATATATATACTTTGTATGACAGCCATTCAGACCAAGATGAGAACATTTCCAGAATCCTGGCAGGTTCTCCCATGCCAACTTTCATTTATTAATCCTGTGCCCAGATATTCTATCTGTATCACCATGGATGTTTTTTTTTCCTGTTTTTGAACTTCATATAAATACAATCATGCAGTATACACTCTTTTTCTTCTTTCACCCCATCTTATGTCTTTGGATTTATCCATGTTGCATGTAGCAGTGGTTCATTTTCACTTCTATACAATATTCTATAGTATGAATATACTATGAAATTATTTTTGTAAGACCTTTTATATAATTCATTCTAACCTGAGCTTGAAATTGCTCTGAAGAAATCTTTGACTAACTTAATATTTTCCTCCTCCTGGGTGACTTGCTCTTCCTTCCTGAAAACATGAAGACATTTTATAATAATCATTAAACTAAGGTTAATTTAATCAAGATAGATTTTCCCTTAACAGTTTTTCTTAGAACATGATAATGCCCCATTGATACATGGAACTGGTTCCTTTTTCTTTCATATTTTAAGGATTTTTAAAATTATATTTTAAAATATTTTCTCTTCTACTTTAGCTTTTAGATTATCTTCTTATTGAGTCTTTTTCTTTTTTTTCTCTTACCCAGATATATCATATTTTTCCCAATTGCTGTAACGTTGTTCTCTTTTTCTGCATTTACTATGAAAATATCAAGCTTTTCTTTTAGTCCAGAAATTAAAATATTATCTGTGTTCAACCTAGCTATTGCTTTTTCTAATTTATATGTTATCTGGGTAATGGTACTGTTTTGGCTCAACTTGTCTCCTTATCTTTCATATACTTTTAAATGATACTTTTTTTTAAAAAGTTAAATTTGTCTTTGAACTCTGATTTTATTTAATCTCAGGTCTTTTTATACTACAGGCAACTTTTTTGGAGTTTTTTTCTTCCCTGCTTGTGATTTCTACTAGTCTCTGCATGCTATGTTACTTTCATTATTTTTATGATCGTATTATTACTCTTTTTTACATTAATCTCTCCCCACAACTACAAATTTATATTGTTAATCTTTTCATTTTGCTTGTGTTTCTCTTAGCTCTGTTTAGGCTTTCTGTTTGCTTAATATAGTGTGGACAAATGATTCTTTAAATACCCCTCCCTATCTTTTTTGCTACTTTTTATTTTTCCCTTCAAGCTACAGTTTAGGTGACAAAAATCTACACTCCAGTTACTTTTTTATGACCTGAAAGAAAAGGGGAGAAGAAGCAAAGTGTCCTAGGTTGGAGGTCCTGGGTTGTAGTCTCTAATGAGACCTGTTAATTGTCTGCAAGGCCCCTCTCCTCTGCCCAAGGATGCACTTGAGTTCCTGTGGGATTTGCCTGGCTTTCCTGACTCAGCTGTGAGCCTTGGCTTGTGGAGAGTCCTGACAGTCTTTCTTACTTCTGCAGACACCTCGTGATTAGTTTCCGAATGGGGAAGAGATGCATAACACCCTGATGGTTTTGGTGATGACTCAAGTTTCTTTATCAGAACTGGTTATGGGGTCAGAGAGAGGTTTAGGATTAGTGTTGTTCCATCAGAACCTTTTAATTATTTCATCAGCCTGAAACTTAGTTTATGACATAAGATAGTACCCGCTTTATTTCATTTCTGCTGTTGAATTTCTTTCTTTTTTAAAATTTTTGTTTTGTTAGTATTCCGGGCATGGAAATTCTGTCACCTGTCTTTATGCAGTCATCTTTACCTGGAAATAAGATTGGAAAGTTCCTTAAAGAAAATTCTCTCAGGGCACCTGGGTGGCTCAGTCGTTAAACATCTGCCTTCAGCTCAGGTCATGGTCTCAGGGTCCTGGGATCGAGTCCCCATCGGGCTCCCTGCTCAGCGGGAAGCCTGCTTCTCCCTCTCTCACTCCCCCAGCTTGTGTTCCCTCTCTCTCTGTCTCTCTCTGTCAAATAAATAAATAAAATCTTTTAAAAAAATAAAAAAAGAAATAAAAAAAGAAAATTCTCTCATATCTTCACAGAACAATCTGATTCCTTAGGTGGGGCTTATTTATTTATTTACTTTTACCTTCACTTAGTAGAAGAAGAAACAATAGCTCAAAGGAGTTAAATACTGTGATCTAGGTAAATTTTGGGGTTACTGGCACAGCTGTGCCTGGTAGCTTAGCTCCTATAACCCACAAAATATTCTTTTTAGTTGAACACCCTGGTTCACTCTGGTACAATGAGTACAGTGTAGACTCGCACAAAGCATGAACTGTGTTGACCTTCAGGATTACTTTAATCCTGTGTGATTTCAGAATGGGGATAACATGAATTATATTATTGGTCTCTGGCATAATAAAAGTAACATATTCCCTAGAGAATACATAAAAATTTTTGAGATTAATAATATAATCTGCTGTTAGCATTTCAAACATAAGAAAATTAATACACTATTTTCTCTTTTTCCAGAAAATACAAGAGACATCATAATGATATATGAAGAAGACGCTGAGGAATGGGCTCTGTACTTGACGGAAGTTTTTTTACATGTTGTGGAAAGGGAAGCAGTCCTGTTATATCGCTTGGAGAATTACTCTTTTTGGGATTTGGAATTGCTGAGCTTAAACTCTTACAAATGTAAACTTTTGATATTATCAAATGGTCTGCTTAAAGACCTAACTCCAAGGAAATGTCAGTTTCTGGAAAAGGTACTTCATTCACCAGAAAGTGTGGTTACTCTGCTGTGTGGGGTGACGAGTTCAGATGAGCTCTACAAATTACTAAATATCGCTGGAGGCAAATGGGAGATGTCTACTGAGCAGGAGCCCCAAGATTACATCGCTGTAATCGAGAATATCATATTCAGAGGTAGTGTTGCCCAATCTTCTTTATATTTTTTTTATAATTAAGAAATCTAAAGTTTTTTTTTGCGCCGATGAATATTTGGTATTAGGATAAAAAAGAAAAATGGAAGCCAACTCTATGTTGTATGTATGTTGCACTTTTCTCAAATGCATGAAGGTTCTTAATTTTTAGCTATATTCCAGTCAGGGCTTATCAGTTGTTTTAAAAATGGTTTATAAATATATTCCTTAGGGTGGTCTGGTGTAAGCTCATACTTGGTAGAACAAGTATGGTATGCTATACTATATGGCAGTTTGGTTCTAAAAGCTGGTTTCTTACTTAACTGGTAAGCCTTGAGTTAGTATCTACCCTATTACTGTTACAAGTCAGTAGGAGTGCAAGTTTGAAGGTCTGTTTTAGAATTATAAAACTTCTGTTGTGCTGATAATTGTATGGTATCTATTAGGATGATATGGAATACTGTTATTTTTATTAGTTTTAAATAAAAAAATTGTTTTAATCATATAGCCACATGTCAAAGAGCAGAACACAAAGTTCCCCTTTGGTAATTAATTACAGTTCCATGTAATAATGAAAACTCTGAAGCTCTCTAATGTTAAAGTTTCTCCCTCCCCCCGTTCTATTCTGCTTCTGCCTGAGTGTGGAGGCGGGGCTGTGGCAGCTGCATTCCTGCTTTTCCCAACCTGTGTTTAGCCTCTTATTTCCAGTGTTCTAGCTATGGCTTCCTCTCCTGCAGGGAAGCGGTGGGGTTCTGATTTTCTATTGGCCATATCAAATATGTTGCCTCCTTTTCTTGGGGCATATTTCTGGGTTCTTTGGAGTTACCTTCATTCACTGGGATGTGTCACCTGCGGCTCCTTAATGAGATGACTGTGTCCTCTCTTGAAGCTCCTGCTCCTGGTGGTCTACCCGCTGTGGTTTCTTACTGTTGATATCTATGGCTCTCTCCTGTGTCACTTTTGATAGATATCACTCCAACATTTCCCCCAGCTGGCCTTTTCTTTCATTTGGCCCACATCTGTCTGTGAAAACATGTGTTTGTCTTTTCCCTGTCAAACTCTGGGCATGAAGGCCATTTTCAGTATAGCCAACACCATCTTACCCTCAGAGCAGCAACACAGCCACAGCCTCTTGCTTTGAGTCGTTTCCGGGCATGGGTCTAGCACGAATCTTGTTCTGTCAAACCAGAGAACATCTATCAATCCCCGATGCTTTGCTGGAGGCCTTGTCACTGTGCTTGAAGATGGTGCCATCCGTCCGTCTTCCCCATGGGGGATGGCGGGATGCACAGCATACCAACTACTCTCTTTAAAAATCCTCTTCCTATTTTCTAGCATTCCAACCTCTTCAAATTCAGAACTCTCTAAGCCGTGTCTTATAGTTATCTATTGTTGCATAACAAGTTACTCTAAAATTTAGCAACTTAAAACAGCAAATGATGATTGTATCAAAGTTTCTGCAGTTAAGGAATCTAGGAGCTGCTTAGCTGGGAGGTTGTGGATCAGGGTATCTTGTGAAGTTCAGTCAAGCTGTCCAAAGGTACAGTCAAGCTGTCCAAAGGTACAGTCATCTGAAGGCCCCACTGTCCACTAGGGGAAGATTTACTTCCAACAGGAATGTACATTGTTGGCAAGTTTGTTATTTTTTTTATCATCTCACTGGATGAAAGTCATCTTTCATAGATTCCTGAGGAAGGGCCCTTGGGAGCAACATTTCTGAAATTTGGTGTGTTCAAAATTCTTGCATGTTTGTTGCTTGGAGTATAGTTGGGTTAAGGACCATTTTGCTCTTCTTTCTTCTAGCATTGTAGAATTTAAGAAATTCTTTTTTTTTTTTTTTAAAG